ACACCCATTGAAAAACCTTGCCCTGGGGCCACTTAAGAGATTATTAGTAACAACTAGAGACCCAATGCACAAAATTTATACACAGGAGTGTGTGTCCCTCAGCCCAGCCTGTACCTTCTCCAATATGGGACCCCTCAAGAGAAATCCGACTGCCCTCTCACAATCCAAGACTGCTGGCTCCCAACTCCTTGCCTGCCTGCCTGCCTGCCTTTCTGATTGCTCCTAACCACTTCTGCCTACCAGCCTGATCACCCCCTAACCACTCTCCTGACAGCCTGCTTGATGCCTAATTGCTCCCCTGCCAACCTGATTGCCTCTAACTTCCCTCCCCTGCAGGCCTGGTCACCCCTAACTGCTCTCCCCTGCAAGCCTGGTCCCCCCAACAACTCCTGGCAGGCCTGGGTCCCACCCAACTGCCCTTCCCTACAGGCCTGGTTGCCCCCAACTTCCCTTCTCTGCAGGCCTGGTCCCTCCCAACTGCCCTTCTCTGATGGCCATCTTGTGGTGGTCATCTTATGTCCATATGGGAGCAGGATCTTTGACCACATGGGGCAGCCATCTTGTGTTGGAGTGATGATTAATCTGCTTATTACTTTTTTAGATAGGATAGAGGCCTGATGCATGGGTGGGGGCTGGCTGGTTTGCCCTATAGGGTGTCCCAGATCAGGGTGGGGTTCCCTTGAGGCATGAGGCGGCCTGGGCGAGGGCCCTGTGGTAGTTTGCAGGCCAGCCACACCCCGTGGCCCAAGCTGGAGGCCCTGGTATCTGAGATTTATCTTCTATAATTGAAACTTTGTAGCCTTGAGCAGAGACAAGCCTCCTGCATGCTCTGAGGCTGCTGCCATTTTTGTTGGGACTTATGTATCTTCTATAATTGAAACTTTGCAGCCTTAAGTAGAGGACTGGGCTGGCAAGGGAAACCCAACCCTCCCTCCTGCTCTCCATGTCCACAGCCATCTTAGTTGGGTTAATTTGCATACTCTCCTGATTGCCTGGTGGGTGTGGTTTGTGGGTGTACTGGAGTGATAGTTAATTTCCATATTACTCTTTTATTAGTTAGGATTAGCCTCCAGGTAGAAGCAACTGCCCCACCATGTTGAAAAAACTGTCTATACCTGAGGACGATTGCCTGGAGGCAATTCAAGTAGGAATCCTATTAGTCTGTAGACAGAGGCAGTCTCTGGAGGCATTGACTCTTTGCCTGATTCAATTAGTCAGAAACAGCCTTTAACACTGTTCTGCATTAGAGATTGAGGTGTAGGAGATCCACCTAAAACATAGTCACAAACCCAGACAACCAAAATGAGGTGACAAAGAAACAACCTCCCAATGAAAGAACTAGAGAATTCTCCAGAAGAGGTAAATGAAGCACAGATAAGAAATTTATCTGAAACAGAGTTCAGTTATGATGTTAAAATGCTCAACATGCGGGGTGTGTGACTTCACCGGTTTGGCTCAGTGGATAGAGCATCAGCCTGCAGACTGAAAGATCCCAGGTTCCATACCAGGCAAGGGGATGTACTGTGTTTGTGGGCACATCCCTAGTGGAGGTGTGCAGGAGGCAGCTGGTTGATGTTTCCAATTGTTGTTTCTAACTCTCTATCCTTCTCCCTCTCTGTAAAAAAAAAAAAAAAAAAAAAAAAATCAATAAAACATTTTTTTAAAAAAATGCTCAACAGTATGAAAAAAGACATATTAACTATGAAAAAAGAACAGTCTGAGATAAAGAATGACATAACAAAAATAAAGAACAAATTGGAAAGAATACACAGCAGACTGGGGGAAGCTGAGGATTGATTTGCTGAATTAGAAGACAGAGTGGAAAATATCATTCAGAGAAACAAAAAGATAAGAGTTGAAAAACAGGATTACAGCTTAAGAAAGCTGTGGGATAATGTGAAAAGTAACAATATTAGAATAGCAGGTGTGCCAGAAGAGGCAGAAAGGGAGAAAGGAATAGAGAACTTATTTGAAGAAATAATGGCAAAAAAAACTTCCCTAATCTGGCAAAGGAAAAAGTCACACAAGTTCAGGAGGCACAGAGAACCCATTTGCATGGAAATTTTTTTCCCAGCCCTTCATTTACATCCTGTGTGTCTTTTAAGGTGGGTCTCTTGTAGACAGCATATAATTGGTCATGTTTTTGTTACAGCAGTTTTAGGTTCATAGCAAAATTGAGCCTGGGGGAAGGGCCACGGGGTTAGCCGCTGGTCCTCCGCCTTTCCCACTTCAGGCCAGTTCACTGGTCACAGTGGGTGTCATAGCGACCAGTCGTTCTGGTCATTACGGCATTTCAGTCACTGGCATATATATATGGGTGTGGTTTGTGGGTGTACTGGAGTGATAGTTAATTTCCATATTACTCTTTTATTAGTTAGGATTAGCCTCCAGGTAGAAGCAACTGCCCCACCATGTTGAAAAAACTGTCTATACCTGAGGACGATTGCCTGGAGGCAATTCAAGTAGGTTGATGACATCTTATATATATATGCCAGTGGCCCAATGCACGAAATTCATGCACATTAAAAGGGAATTAGAAGAAATCCTATATAACAAAAGGCTAATATGCAAATCGACTGAATGGAGGAATGACCAGTCACTATGACATGCACTGATCACCAGGTGCTCAATGCAGCTGTCCCCTGGTGGTCAGTGCACTCAGTCAGAACCCCTGAACTGAGCTTACAGCTGGTGAGTGCAGCGGTGGTGGCAGGAGCAGGCCTAAGCTGTCATTCAGACATCCCCTGAGGGCTCCTGAACTGCAAGAAGGCACAGGCTGGGCTAAGGGAAACCCTGAGTGCAAGAATTTTGTGCACCAAATCTCTAGTATTTTAATATTGCTATTTGCCCTTTCTCTACAATATAATGGAAGTTTCAGAGATGAAAGAAAATTAGTAAAATTATATGAAAATCTCCCTCCTGACAAGAGTCTGGGCATGCTGTGGGACCTAGAGTCAAGTCCCCACCCACCACTCACTTCAAGCCCTTCAGGGCGGGGGGCACAGTCTGAGGGGCATGGGGGCATGGTCTGAGATCCCCATCAAGCCCCACTGGGCAAAGGGTACAGCCTGAGGTTCCCTGGTCCAGCGCTGGGGCAGGGAAACAACCTGAGGTCCCTCACCTTGGCCAGGCACCAAGCAGACTCAGGTCCCTGATGTTCAGTTGTGACATTATACTACCCCAGCTAATTTGCATATTCCTCTATTATTAGTAGTATAGATTATTATGTTACTTTCCATATGAACTATAAACCTATTTTTGTCCACCCTTGTATAAGCTGGTAATGACAAAAAAACAGGATATACTATTAACATTCTCATAACACTAGGTTAGTGATATTAATTGCATGTGTTCCAAAGCTAGCATAAATTTAAAAGTTAAAGATAATTTCATACAATCCACATAATCTAGTCTTTATAGCAAAGTACATTCCTGGGTGAAAGAAAACACCCTGTGTTGTTACAATGCACTGTAAAAAAGCTTTGGAGACTGACAGTTTGGATCCTGGCTCTTCCACTTGCTAGGTAGGTAGGTCACTTAGTGTCTGTTATCTATAAAATGAGGATGATGCTCTTTCTTCAAATGATTATTGTGAGAATTTAATAATGATGTAAAGGATCTAGTAAATAGTAGTAACTGATTAAAATGTAACTAATTGCCCTAACCAGTTTAGCTCAGTGGATAGAGTGTCAGCCTGTGGACTGAAGGGTCCCAGGTTCGATTCCGGTCAAGGGCATGTATCTTAGTTGTGGGCATAGGGGATGTGCAGGAAGCAGCTGATCGATGTTTCATTGATGTTTCTCTCTCTCTATCCCTCTCCCTCTCTATAAAAAATAAAATAAAAAATATATTTTTTAAAACCACAAAAGCCTGAGGGTTGTGTATTTAAAAAATAAAATAATATGTAACGAATTTAATTATATCCTAGATGCCAACCTCCTCACTCCCAAACATTATAAAATGTTTTCTGAGTAGACTTTCTGAGTTTCATTTTAAAGGCAATTTTATAATCTTCAGAAGGAAACCATGCACATTTTTAGTATTTACACTACTAACAATATGTGGCTGATAATGTAGAATATTTCATCATACTAGTCACATAAAAATAGATAGAAGGCTAATATCTCAAAGAAACCAAAATAAAATAGGTTTCTCTAAATAAGAATGTCAAGACCAGAATTAATATAAAGAAATACACATTCTAATAGATGAAAAGACATTTTATTATTATTTTTCTATATAACATAGTAGTGAATATATCTGATTGCATTTTCTCAAATGGCAAATGAGAACAGGACAGCATTTTATTGAAAACCTCAATATCATCTGTCTTTTGGAGGATTCAATTTCCTACGACGTGTATGATACCTTGAAAAGAAAAAAATATTTAAGATAATTTATTTCAGTAAGTGTTTCTGACAGAAATATCAAATTTATATTATTATTTTGCCATCTATTTATTAGTACTCAATGAAATGAAACTACATACATATGGTGTTAGATATATCTCAGATAGTTCTTAATAAGCCACATTTCCCAAGAGTGAAAATTATTTTCTATTAAACGTTTTGGAAAATCTTCATTCAGATATTGATAATAACTTCAATATGGTAACCTGGATGATTGTTAAATACTAATAATTAACTAAAATTTATCTTTATGATAAAGAAAGTACAATGTCAACATGCTCTACTAAATTTTTATTTGAAAAGAGATTTTTTTCTTCTAAATGGAGGGCTCAAGCTGCAAAAGTATGTTTTAATATATACTAAAATACAGTTAGTACATTTATGGAAAAATGTGCAATATCATAGAATATGAAAGAAATGAAAATTAAAACAGTGAGGAAACTTTTATTTTTTGCAATTACAAATATTTTTAAATTCATACTGCCCAATCTAAGCACAGGAGTAGTGAAATAAGCACTATTAGACCTGACTGGTTAAAGTTTTAACAGGTATATTTTTGAAAAGCAGTATTAGCAATGTGTATCTTTTAAAAATTCTTAAATAGGCATAACTTTTGATCTAGTAATTCCTCTTCTGGAAATCTATCCTAAAGCAATATAGAAAAATAGTTAAAATTTTAATTGGGGTAGGGGGAAATACAGGATGCAAATTTAAATTCAGTATAAATAAAATCATATAAAGCAAACTAACACAACTTATGTAAAAATACGAAGTAAAATAAAATGCATAGTTAGCAGTGATCATCTTAGAGTAATTTCACCATGAATAATTTTTCTTTTTTGCTTCTATGCATTATCTTATTTTTTTATTGAGTTAAGAAAATTTCTGCAAAGTAGATGCAGTTTTGGTGATAAGTTGTCTTCAAAAAAATTCCCCTAAAGCCAGATTTTGGCAAGTTGATCTGAGTTAAAATTGTTTTTTTAACTTTTTAAATCTAATATGAAAAAAATACAATGTAAAGATTTCTATACTTTAATGATGATATACATGTATTCTATGCTCTTTAGCTGTGATGATTAAGATATCAAAAGCAGCCCTGGCCTGCTTTACTCAGTGGTTACAGTGCCAGCCTGCAGAACAAAGGGTCACAGATTTGATTACCAATCAAGGCCATAAACCTGGGTTGCAGGTTCAATCCCCAAACAGGATGTGACTCATGTTTCGCTTTCAAATCTACGTTTCTCCTTCTCTCTCCTTTCTCTCTCCTTCTCCCCCTCCCCTCTTTCAAATCTATTTCTTTCTCTCCTTCTCCCCCCCCCCCCACACACACTTTCTCTTTTTCTCCTCCCTCCCTTCCACTCTCTAGAAATCAATGGGGAATATATCCTTGGGTGAGGATTAACAACAAAAAATATATCAAAAGCGTTTTTTTGCTTATTTTAAGGTTTCATATAAGCAATTGTCCTATACATTTTTTTCTGATGATTTTTTTTTTAACCATTTGTGAAATATAGCCTTGGCCAGTGTGGTACAGTAGGTGGGGATTGTCTTTGTGTTGAAAGGCTGCCAATTTGATTCCTGAACAGGACACATACATGGCTTGTGGGCTTGATCCCCAGTAGGGGGCGTGCAGGTGGCTGCCCATCTATCAATGTTGCACTTTCACATTGATGTTTCTCTCTCCCTCTCTGCCTTTCTCTCTCTCTCTAAAAGTCAATAAACTATTTTTAAAAATTAAAAATTTGGAAATTAATTTGAAAAGGAGTACATCTATATATACTAATATGGAACATTAAGTTACAGAATAGTACATATACCTTCTCTGTGACAACATGGATGAACCAAAGGGTATTATGCTCGGTGAAATAAGTCAGCCAGAGAAAGACCAATATCATACAATTTCACTTATATGTATGTGGAATTTAAAAAAATAAATAAATAAACAAGACAAAACAAAAATACATTCACAGAGAATGAATGGTAGGAAGATTGAGAAGCTGGGTAAAAATGGTGAAGGGGTTAAGTACAAATTGGCAGTTATAAAACAGCAACAGGGATGTAAAGTATAAAGCATAGAAAATCTATACTAATAAAAGGGTAATATGCTAATTAGACTGAGAGACCTTCCAGACGTTCTTCTGGACAAAGCCATGGTGGCAGGGCCGAGGTAGAGGCAGTTAGAGGCCAAGAGGGGAGGGCAGTTGTGGGTGGTGATCAGGCCAGGATGGGAAGGCAGTTGTGGGTGATCAGGCTCGGGGGGCGAGGGTCTGGGGGGGAGGCCATTAGGGATGATCAGGCTGGTGGGGAGGGAGGGTAGTTGGGGGTGAGTATACCAGCAGGGGGACCAGTTGGGGGCAAGCAGGCCATCAGTGGGGGTCAGTTGGGGGTGATCAGGACAGTGGGAAGAGGGGAGGGCAGTTTGGGATGAGCAGGCCAGCAGGGGGGCAGTTGGGGTCGAGCAGGCCAGTGGGCAGGGCAGGTGAGAGCAAGCAGGCCAGAAGGGAGGGCAGTTGGAGGCAAGCATGCAGGCACAGGGGGCAGTTGGGGGTGATCAAGCTAGTGGAAGGGTCATTTGGGGGAGAGCAGGCCAGCAGGCAGAGTGATTAGGGGCAATCAAGCAGGCGAGCAGTTAGGAGCCAGCAGTCCCAGATTGTGAGAGGGATGTCCAACTGCCAGTTTAGGTCCGAGCCCTGTAAATCGGCAGTAGGATATCCTTCAAGGGGTCCCAGATAGGAGAGGGTGCAGGCTGGGCTGAGGGATACCCCCACACACACACCCGTGCTCTAATTTTGTGCACCAGGCCACTATTACAGTCAACAATACTGCAATAATTATACATGTTGCCAGGTAGGTACTATAACACTTATTAGGAGGGATCATTTTGTTAAGTTACATAATTGTCAAACCACTATTCTATACATCTGAATCTAATATAATGATGTCAACTATAATAGAAAAAAATTAAATTAGAAAAATACGTATAGCAAATTATTTATGTAACCATTTCTACATGTACTTATATTGGCACAGTACTAGTGCAATAGTATCCCCAAAAGGTATTCGCTCAATGCAGCAGGGGTTTTGGAAGTCATAAACTTTGTGAAATTATTTATAAAATTTAGAATATGCATTTTTCTGGGAAATGGATTCATATGTTTCATCAAATTCTCAATGAAGTCTGTAGTCCTAAAAACACTAAATGTGATCTAACTTTTACATTGCTCAACTATTTTCACTATAAAAGTGTGACTTTAAAATGTTTGAGATCCTGCCGAAACCGGTTTGGCTCAGTAGATAAAGCTTCGGCCTGCGGACTGAAAGGTCCCAGGTTCGATTCCGGTCAAGGGCATGTACGTTGGTTGCGGGCACATCGCCAGTAGGGGGTGTGCAGGAGGCAGCTGGTTAATGTTTCTCTCTCATCGATGTTTCTAGTTCTCTATCCCTCTCCCTTGCTCTCTGTAAAAAATCAATAAAATATATATTTTTAAAAATGTTTGAGATCCTGATAGCTCTAAATCTAACAAAGCCAAGTTCTAAAATATGCTAAATAAATGTCAAATAGTCCAATAGCATTTATAGATGTCCTATCATGCATGGATTTTCAATATGTGCTACAATCACTAACCAGAAATAAAGTACATTAATTTTAGAATATCTTTATAAGTTATCATAGAGAATAAAACCCACCCTATTAATAATAAAAGAGTTAAGCTGAGAGTACTCCTGACAAATCAACAGTGACTCAGTGATACATAATGACTCAGTGATATCTGGAAGATTTGTCCACAATTTTTAATCCAGGGTAAAACTTTACCTCCTGGTTCACACTGCAGCTAATATTCGTTTCCTACTAATGATACCAGCTAATATTTGTTTCCTCCATGGAAAATATGAAACAAGTTATTTAAAACAGTAAAACAGTATTGCTATTTGTACATTTATAGGATTGCTCTACATTTCAAAAATTTAGAATTACTTTCCAGATCCATCTTATCTTCCATATAGCCTTTTTCCACTGTACATTTAGTGGAGCTATGTTCACTTACTATGAGCACACAATGGCATAGACAGGTGTATTATAAAGCTGTGCACATAAACTTTTAAGTTATTAACTAATGTCACTCCAATAAACTTAAAGAATCAGAATCATTCACTCATTCATCTGTGCATTCATTTTTAAATATAAGTATCTATTATGTGCCAGGTACTATTTCTAGGCGCTAAGAATTCTGTATTGTACAAAACAAGACAAACCCCCACCATCATAAAGAGTACATTCCAATGGAGAAAACAGGAAAAAGAAAAAAAAAATATGTTGGCTAGGGAAGGCTATAGTGAGTAAAAACCCGAAGGAAGCAAGCAAACTTTGCTGATAACAGCAGAGAAGAGCTTTTTACAGAGTGAACAGCAAGTACAATGGTTCTGAGGTGAAAGGGACGGCATGTAAAGAGGCCACATGGCTGGAACAGAGTAAATAAGGAAGGGATCAATAGGAAATGAAGGTAGAAAGATAATGGGGTAAGATCATGTAGCTTCTGATAGGTACTAGTTAAGGCCTATAGCTTTTCTCTGAATGAGATGGGAAGCAGTTGCAGGGTTTTCAAGAGAAAAATTATAAGAACTAACAGAAGTTTTAACAGGATTACTCTGGCTATGAACTAAGAATACATTACAGGGAAGCGAAAGCAGAAACAGGAAACCAATTAGGAAGCACTGTAATAAGCCAGGCAAGAGATGGTGGTGTGGACCAAGATGGTGGCAGAGGAAGAGGTGATAAATAATCAAATGGGATACATTTTGGAGACAAAGCTAATAGGACTTCCTGATAAACAAGATGTGGAGTGTGAGATAGAGAACAGCCAAGAGTGGTACAAAGGTTTCTGGCCAAGCAGTTAGAAGAATGGATATGGCGTTAACATAGATAGGGAAGGCTGCAGAAGCAGCTAGTTTGTGGGGGACCAGCAGAAGTACATTTAGAAACAATAAGTTAAGTATACCAATTAGGAGGCTGATAAACAGGTATATAGATCAGGGGAGAGGTGACCAGAGATAGATTTGGAATCCATTAGCATTCTGATGGTACTTAAAAGCCATGAATCTGGCTAAGAATCAGACAGAAATGAGGAAAGATCAAAGAACTGATCTTAGGACACTCAAAAATTTAGAGATAGGGAAGATGAAAAGGAATCAGGGAATCAGGAAGGAAAAGTAAGGTAATGTGTGAACATTAGAAATGTAATAGTTTCAACAAAGTTGTTAAGGTTGAATTAATGAGAAAAATAACAGATGCTCAAATACAACCTGAAGGAACTCTGTTAACACTGCTAAAATGATGTATTCTGGAAATACTTATACTGTAAGGAATGCTCCATCACTTTTGATTTCTTTCATGCCAACTGAAGAAGACTCAAGAAAAGAAGATCTTGTACTCTGATTATAAAGAAATTGTTACAATGCTTAGTTGTAATTAATTGCAAACAAGAGTGAGATTAATAAATCATAAAGTTCTAAGGCTAAAAAAAAAAAAAGAAAGAACTTGTAGATAGATACTGGCAACACTAAAGGCCAACAAGAGATACCTCAGAGATAGCTGTGAGAGCAAAGAAGCTTAGAATCATGTCCTCAAAAACTATTTAGAGTAATTATCAAAAGCAAATTACTGCCCTAGCTGGTTTGGCTCAATGGGTAGAGCATCAGCCTGCAGACTGAGGGGTCCCAGGTTCAATTCAGGCCAAGGACACATGCCCGGGTTGCAGGCTCGATTCCCAGTAAGGGGGCATGCAGGAGGCAGCCAATCAATAATTCTCTCTCATCATTGATGTTTCTATCTCTCTCTCTCCCTCTCCCTTCCTCTCTTATATATATATATATATATATATATATATATATATATATATATTTTTTTTTTTTTAAAGCAAATTACTGCAAGCAAAAAAACAAATGGATTTCAAAGAGTTTTACTAGTACATAAGCAGCAACTTTCAAATATGTTCATGTTCAAAGTTCCATGACTTCAAGTAAATATAATGTAATAGCTACGCCAGTTTAATTTGTTTTCATTATCTATGATTTCATCAAACAGGAAGCAGCAGGAGCCTCATGGATATATATGTTATTTTTCAAGTCAATCTTTGCAGAACTGAATAAAAAAAGTAATTCAGGCCAAAACCAGTTTAGCTCAGTGGTAGAGCATCGGTCTGCGGACTGAAAGGTCCCAGGTTCGATTCCGGTGAAGGGCATGTACATCAGTTGCAGGCACATCCCCAGGAGGGGGTGTGCAAGAGGCAGCTGGTCGATGTTTCTCTCTCATTGACGTTTCTAGCTCTCTATCTCTCTCCCTTCCTCTCTGTAAGAAATCAATAAAATATATTTAAAAAATAAAATAAAAAGTAATTCAGGCAAATGAAGAGGATAGGAAACTAAAAGTTCAATTTAAATGCATTGTCCTGGATTTCTTCATTAGTCATTTCCCACACTAAGAATTCAAACAGTTCTAGCAATCAGTCTCAAAATAAAGCCCAAATCTAAAACTGATTTGCCATCCTAAAATAAATCACTAGAATCAGGAAAAAGCAAAATCCAATGCACAGATTTCGCAGTTTTTACTTCACATAACCTAATCACCAATGTTTAATGGCCACCATTTCAGCATCAATTCTGTACAATCATACTACCTACACTCCCACCCACCCACTTTGGGTGAGGCCAATAACTAGATGCAGGTACTTTATGAACAAATGAGGTGAGGCAACACCTTGGAATCATAAGTCTTTTGCTGACCTTGATTAAGAATCAGATGAGAAACACCTTTGTGTTTTTGACCTTCCTAGATCAAATGGAAATTAGATGAACCCACATAAATTTTCTTATTTTTTGTTTGTTTTTTAACTTTTAAAGGATAATAAAAGAATCTCTTTTTAACAGGAGACTCAACATATATAACAAAGTAGAGCTAAAAAGTTGAGGTGGGGGCCTCCAATCCCAATTCTGATTTGCCTGGCAGAGGCCAGGCGAATGGAAAACAAGCCATGAGAGGTAGTCTGGGCAAATAACCTAACTGTGGTTTGGAAGGAGGCACTATAAGAAAGAATGGTATCAACAAAGTTGTCTCTTACCCATCCTTCCCCTAGAGAGACATCTTAGAGACACTGGCATACAAAGGACAGTGGTTAATGAAAACTGAAGAGTCAGGGGTGGGCACCTGAAAGGTTTTAAACCTTTCACAGGGACATCACTTACATGCTCATTTGATGCAACTTAAGAAAGCATTAATGTAACTTTCCTAAAAATGCAAAATAACACATGTGCTCTTTTTACCACAAGCCATAAACCTAACCACCTAGTTTCTAGGAACTATGGGCTTTCACCAGCCAGGTCCTAGGCTGGTTCAGTTGTGGAAACAAGAGCCCAGTTTCAGGTCCCAGCCTCCTTCCTTCAAAAGGGCAGGGATGTCAATAGAATTGAAGCAATAAAGAGAGCTCTCCAAGGCCCCTCTCTGTGGCAGAGACTCCCGACCTGGACAGCAGCAGCTCATCAGCTAGGCTTGAACCCACATACCTTGATAGCTGAACTCTGGGAATAAAACTTCCAATAATCACTGGGACATTTACCAGTGGGCCATCACAAATACTGTAAATAAATTACTATTTCAAAAGAAATTGAACAACTTTAAAATAGTGTGAAGATAATTAGGTAAGATAATATTCCATGACACCTTAACTTAGCACCACACATTGTAGTAAAAATACTGTTTGTTAGAATACTAGCCATACCATTGAGACAAGAAAATAAATAAAAGGCATCCAACCTAGAAAGGAAGAAAACTGTCATTTGCAGATGACAAGATACTGTATATAGAGAACCCTAAAGATTCCACCAAAAAAACTACTAAAATTAATAAATAAATTCAGTAAAATACGAGGATACAAAACAAATATTCAGAAATTGGTTGCATTTTTAAATATATAGTAGGTAATTATACTGTGTATTAATTTCCCCATGCAGAAGTTTGATAATGCAAGGTAAGTACGTGTTCTTTCAATGTGTTAGTGCAAGTTGAAGAAAAGAAAACAGAACTTACTGTCCATGAGGATACCAACGGTGCTTAGTAGTAAAGAACATTTTGCTAAGTTGTTCTATCATGGGTCCTTGCTCTAAGTGTTCTTCTTTTACTTCTAATCTGGTTTTCAGTATTTGATCCTGTGTTTCTTCATAATTATGCACAGGATTTGGCCGAGGGATAGGCTAAAAAAATAATCAGTAATAAACAGTATCGAAATATAGGAATGTTAGCCAGCATTTAATAGAGTTTATGATAAAACAATTATTATTCTCAAGAATTCATTACAGTACTTCAAGGTGGGTGGGTAAGTTATTAGAACAGAGCTTCACTTAGTTGAAATATTCACTAAAGAATAAGAAATACTTTTCTTCTCATATCAAGTTTTGGGTTTCTTTTCCAATAATAAAGTTCTTATTTAAAGTTCTATTTTCCCCTCAATAAAAAAGACCTATTACAATAATTTCTATTTCTAAAAACTGTAAATTGTGCCTATTATAATTTTTAATTCAAAATTTACAGTCTCTACCTTGAATAAAATTTAAGTAAAATACAATGAAATATCTTTCATTGAAGAGGATATTTCTGGAGACTTGCCTTGGGTGGTGAACACAAAATACAGACGATGTAGATAGAATTGTACACCTAAAACCTATATAATTTTATTAGCCAATGCCACCCCTATAAATTCAATTTAAAAGAAGAGCCTGGCTAACGTGGCTCAGTGGTTGAGCATCAACCCATGAACCAAGAGGTTGCTGGTACAATTCCTAGTTAGGGCACATGCCCGGGGTTGGGGGTTGATCCTTAGTAGGGTGCACAGGAGATAGCTGATCAATGATTCTCTCTCATCAATGTTTGTCTCTCTAGACCTTCCTCTCTCTAAAAAGTCAATAATAAAAAATTAAAAATTTTTTTTTTTAAGTAAATGCCAATATAAAGCATGGGAAAGGAGTGGGTTTGAAGACTGATTTTTACATTTACATTTCTTAGGTGGGGATAAGACAGCCGAAACAATGTGAGTATATACTTGATTTCCTTACAAATAAAAAGAATATTGTGTAAAAAAAAAAAAAAAAAGAAAAGAAAAGAAAAGAAAAAGATGCCGAAACCGGTTTGGCTCAGTGGATAGAGCATCTGCCTGCAGACTGAAAGGTCCCGGGTTCGATTCCAGACAAGGGCATGTACCTTGGTTGTGGACACATCCCCGGTAGGGGGTGTGCAAGAGGCAGCTGGTCGATGTTTCTCTCTCATTGACGTTTCTAGCTCTCTATCTCTCTCCCTTCCTCTCTGTAAAAAAATCAATAAATTAAAAAAAAAAAAAAGAGAAATTCCTAGTACTTCTATTTTTACTTTATTTTTCCAATCATTATTTTTTTTTGCCTCTGGTGGAATATCTTTATTTTCCTAAATGAGAAATACTAAATTTAAAAAACATTTTTAGAATATTAGTTAAAAAATATATATTTTTTTTTATTTTATTTTATTTTTTTATTTTTTTTATTTTTTTTTTCAGAGAGAGGAAGGGAGAGGGAATATATATTGATTTCAGAGAGAGAAAGAAAGAGGGAGAGACAGAAACATCAATGAGAAGAATCATTGAAGAAAGAAAAGAAAAGAATAGAAAAGAAAAGAAAAGAAAAGAAAAGAAAAGAAAAGAAAAGAAAAGAAAAGAAAAGAAAAGAAAAGAAATCATTGATTGGCTGCCTCCTGTACACCTTGTACAGGGGATCGAGCTTGCAACCCAAGAATGTGCCCTGACCGGGAATTGAACTGGGACCTCCTGGTTCATAGGTCAATGCTCAGCCACTGAACCATATTGGCCAGGCTAGAATATTAGTATTTTTAATAAAACATATACCAGGAAGAAGCAGAAAAAGAAGGATCTTTCTATATGGATCTATGGAAGATAATCAACATGCTTTAGATTCAAATATAAATGACCAGAAAAGCAAAGATACAAATCATTTTAACTTTCTTAAAGCCAGTTTTAGTTGGTATTTCTACATATGACTAGGAACTTTGTATATAATATGCTTTCCAGGTCTAGAAAATCAAAGGGCCCACTGGAGTTGCAGCCCTACTTCTTGGAGAAAAGAGGTAAGGCAAGTCTAAATTTTAAGTCATGTTTGAGGATTTTATTTCATTTTATTATTTATTTAGTTTGAGGATTTGTATTTAGTATCATATACTATCATCATGAGATTTGTTAATCTGCATTCAGAAAGAACATACTTTATTCTAACAGTAAAATCATTTTCAAGAATGTTTCTATTTGTCCAGTCCAATCTACAGTTTATTAGTTGAGAAGCAAACAAAAAATTCCATGCCTCCCCTTGGAAATCCTTCTCTTTAGATACCAGAAGGAAGTGTGAATACTTCTAACAGCAAATTAAAAATTATATGATTTTTTTTTCATACATACCTTGGTGTGTTCATATGGAATATCCACAGAAGGATGGTAGCAAACTATCGTCCTGCCATCAGATGTCAAAGCAAGTTCTACTTTGCTAAAAAAAAAGAATGTTTCAGAAACAGTTACACTGTATTCAAGGCAGAATGATACTCTTGGAACTAAAATTAATCAGTTTACTGTCATGCATCCAAAACAGAAACTATCCCCTCATGCCACAATATTTTGAATTAAAAAAATCAATTTGCAATGTATATTATAAAAATAAATTACTTACAATTCAGGTATTCTTGAATATTTTTAGCTGAAAATTCTCACGAAAAATTATTTTAAAGTTGGCTACGATTGTCACTTAGGGAAAATATTTTCTTTTTAATAGACGCACGTGGTGTGTGGGGAAGGTCTATGGCTTGCGTCTACAGATGCTTATGGAGTACAATGGGTTAACTGCCAAGAACCAATTCCAGCATGTAATAATTACAAGAGTTTTACCAAAAGGTTGGTGAAACTTGGGAAGCTCAACAGGGTTGAGTCACATGTAGTTTACCTGTTGGAACCGGCTAAATGGCACTTACACCAAACCTGAATAGGATAACAGTTTGCTGCCAGACAGCTCAGGGCATTTTATTGCCTTCTGTTGGCCAAACACCCGAACTGTTAATGCTTCTGTAGAATACCCTTTGATACCTTACCCTTTGAAGTATATATTTCCACCTTGCCTTGGGACAAATTGTATTTAATAAAAGCCCGTGTTCCTGAGACAAGCAGTCTTCAGCTCCCGTTAGCTGAAGTAGTCTGACCCCCAATGCCTTTCAAAATTATCTTTCGTCCCTGGACTCCTTCTTAATCATCTGTGTGCAGCTCCTTTCTCAGAATGCTGAACCCTTTTTAAGGCTGGGACAAGAACCCCGGCATTATGACGTCCAAATGAGGGGCACCAACAGTTAATTATTCATGAATCTCTAAGAATAGATGCCACTTTACTGGATTGGCAAACTGAGATACTAACAAAAGGGTAAAATTTTAATTAGGGCGGACATTTTCGGACAAAGCCACAGTGGCTGCGAGGCCCAGGGCTCCCAGCAGCCATGGGCTCAGGCAGCAGTGAGCCCTGGCAGCGGGAAGGCCTAGGGCTCATGCCTTGCAGCCACCTCAACTGGCAGTAGCAGCAGCAGCATGGTGATGGGATCAACGCTTTCCCCAGATCAGCCCAGTTGCCTTCCGCAGAGGGAGGCCAGACGGTGGCTTAGGACATCCCTGAGGCTTCCAGACTGTGAGCGGGGGCAGCCAGGGCTAAGGGACACCCCAAGTACACAAATTTTCATGCACCGGGCCTCCAGTACCATATAATAGAGAATAACTCAAACCACTCCACAAAACATGTCAGTTTACTACCACAACAAACCTCTAAGGCCTCACCCACTATTACATCTAAGTTATTCTTAAAATTATTTGTTTTTTAGACTATCCAGATTTTTAGAAGAGACCTTCATGTTTGTCACTATTATTACAACTTCTTTTTCTCATCTAACAACTTCAAAAAGTTGTCAGAGGACATTACTTGTTTGAATTATTAAAGCTGAAGATCAGCAAAAGACAATCTTCCAAGTAAAGGATCACCTGAATTTCTTTCTATTCATAAAGAAACATCTATTGATAGATCAGCATTTCAAGTGCCTTTGGCAGAACAGTACAACTGTAAGAAGCTTCCAATAAAAGAATTCTATAGGTCAAACAAATTTGGAAATTACTTGAATATTATCCCTTCTCTCCATTAATTCCCCCAGAAGAACACATTTTGGCAGTATTCCTCTAAACACTTCCAGGAATGCTCTGACTGGAACTCATTCTTTCAGGTACCAATTTACCAAGTTTCTTCTTTTTTTTTTTTTTTAATATATTTTTTTATTAAGTTATTATTTTTGTACATATACCAATGCCCCCCCTCCCGTACATACCCTCCCTCCCCAGAGTTTTGTGTCCATTGGTTGTACTTATATGCATGTATACAAGTCCTTCAGTTGATCTCTTATCTCCCCCAGATCTCCCCAGCCTCCCCGCTGTCCCAAGTTTCTTTTTCAAAAACTCTGGCAACTAATATTGTACTTAGATCTACAGACATTCTAAGGAGCACAGCATTCAGCTTTTATTCAACATGTATGATTTCTAGATATCTATAAATTTAAGTTTCTAGAATTTCAACACCCAACCAGATTCGAGCAAGACCAGCAATTAAACTATAAAGTGTATTTTAGCTAACACAGGATAAGGTTGTTTCACCATGATATTAAGATTAAATACAATGAACATTTAGTCTATCAAATGATTTTAATGAAGGATGCAGTTTTACATAAGCACCTATAAGATTCATTCTTTTCAGGCTCAAATTAGACCTAGCCTACTTTCATCACTATCTTAGACACTTACTAAATGTATAATTAAAACTACAGAGTGTCACTCTGTGGGTGTGGCTCAGTGGTTGAGCATTGACCTATGAACCAGGAGGTTGATGTTTAGGAGGTCAGAGCACAAGCCCAGATTTCGGACTCAATCCCCAATGGGGGCCATGCAGGAGGCAACCAATCAATGTTTCTCTCATCAATGTTTCGCTCTCTCTCCCTCCCTTTCCCTTCTCCTCTCTCTAAAATCAATAAAAATATATATATTTTTGCCCTAGCTGGTTTGGCTCAGTGGATAGAGTATCAGAGTCCTGGGTTTAATTCTAGTCAAGGGCACATGCCCAGGTTGCAGGCTCAATCCCCAGTAGGGGGCATGCAGGAGGCAACCAATCAATGATCCTCTCTCATTGATGTTTCTATTTCTCTCTCCTTCTCCCTTCTTCTCTAAAATCAATAAAAATATATTTTAAACTGGGGGGAAAAAACACATTTTTTAAACTAAAAGTGTTAACAGGGAAGAAAATACATTTTTACTAAAACTTGCAATAAAAAATGTAGCTTAAGAAAATACATTGGTTTCTGCACATCAGACTGCTGTAGAGAAAAAAAGACATCTTACTCATGTTATTCCCAGTTCTTAGCATAGTGACTAAAATAAACTGTGGTTGAATTAAATATTTGTGATTTGGAATTATTCAATATCAAGCAAAAGATAAGGTAAATAACTGCAGAAGCTAATAGATATACACTCTAAGACAAAACTAAAAAACTAAAATTTTCAAGAAACTCCTAAAGAATGCTTCAGGGAGAAAAGATAGCATTTCTAACAGCATGTCTGTCTTAAAATAAAGTATTTACTGAAATACAATGATAATGATTTTTATTTAAAATAGTTATAAGCCGCCGAAACTGGTTTGGCTTAGTGGTAGAGCATCGGTCTGCAGACTGAAAGGTCCCAGGTTCGATTCCGGTCAAGGGCATGTACATTGGTTGCGGGCACATCCCCGGTAGGGGTGTGCAAGAGGCAGCTGGTCGATATTTCTCTCTCATCGACGTTTCTAGCTCTCTATCCCTCTCTCCTCCTCTCTGTAAAAAATCAATAAAATATATATATTTTTTAAAATAGTTATAAGCCCATAGACTGGGTAAACAAGATCACTGAAATCATTAAAAAAAAAAAAATTAAAGAAAAGAATAATAAAAAAGCAGAAAAACCACAAATAAGAAATAAAATTAAATCAATTCAGATATAGCTAACAGACTGTTAATTTTTCAATTGAATTTATATACATACCAATTATAGTCATCTGGAAGAGAAGAGTATGTGGATTTATGACAAACACAGTATAAAGCTCCATCTGCAAAAACCCAGAAAAATAAAACAGATTTGTTAATTTGAGGATATGTTTTCACATAGATGCAAAACTAGCTTTATTTATTCAAACAATACTTGCTATTTACTATGAAATAGGGATGTATTAGGGCCTTGGATTCAACAAGATCTAGTCCCTGCGAGACAGACAAGTGAACAAATAATTTTCAATAAAAAAGATAAACCCTGTTAGGATGGATTAAGTATTTGGAAAGAGAAGGGAACACAGAAAAGTTACAAAACACAACTGTACAACCCTGGCCAAGTGGCTTAGAGTGTCTTAATATATATACACCAAAAGGCTGTGGGTTCGATTCCAGTCAGGGCACATACCTAGCTTGCAGGTTCTATCCCTGGGCAGGGAGTGTTTGAAAAGCAACCTATTGATGTCCTCTCTCTCTTTCCTTCCCTCCCTTAATCATCTCCCTCTACCCGTCTCTCTCTCTTAAAAAAAAAAAAAAAATCAATAAAAACATATCCTCAGGTGATTAAAAAACGAAACAAAATTGTACAGGTTCAAGAATGCTTTTCAGAGGAGATGATGCCTAAGCTATGTGAAGGATGAGGGGGAAAAATAGGAGTTAGTATGGGATAAGTAAAATGTTGCTTGCAGAGGGAGTAACAAGTGCCAAAGATCAGAGGTAAGAAAGAATATAAAGTATTTGGATATTCTAAAAACTTTCATGTGGAGTGCACAGTTCATAAAGGGAGCATGTTAATTAATAAAATATAAATTGTTCGAAATTAATTTTCACTAATCGAAATGCTCATATTTCAAAGCATATTTCTTTTAGAATGTCTACAAATTCAAGAGCCATAATTACTTTTTAAAAAGTTTATTTAAAAGGTTCTCCTGTGTTTAGAGAAAGGGTGTTCTTTTAAATATAAAGGAAAAATGTAAATGTAGCTCAGTAAATGCAAGCTCCAAATATATCTGGGCTATGTACTCTCTCTCTCACTTCTCCCAACAGGGCCTCTTGCTTCTCAGTATGAAACACAATCCCCACTTTGTTCAAATAGCACTCATCTTTCAAAGTCAAATGCTATTCTTGCAAAAAAATTCTTTATCCCCTCCCCACCAACAACGCCATTACAGAAGGGAGACTTGTCTATATATACATCCCACAACCAACATTTCATATGACATTGCTGTACCTTCTTTGCAATCTTTTCTGCATCTGTTATTGATGTGTATTAAGATATGTAAAAAAGATGTCTCTTCCTTCTTGTATACCTATCCTTTCTCCAAGGATTACATTATATTTAGAGGTCAAAATATAAATTTTAACCCCAAAGAAAAAAAGTACCTTAACAAAATTCACTATTATCACACAAGAATGTTCAGCAAAATGTCAACCCCAAAATTTATTGGTGCAACATAAAAAAAAAAAAAAAATACAAAGAATTAGAAATTTAACCTTCTCTCTCAAATGATTCATTAATTTTCAATTAACTGTGCTAATACAAAGAAGCAGTAAGACAAATCAGCGGATAAAGTAAAAAAACATTCACACAATTTATATTTTGTTTTGCACTATGGAGGATCTTCCTAATTATGCCTAAATTAATTTTAAAAGAAGTTTTAGTCTTTGAATACAAACCAGCTAAGTGAGGTACATGCTTGCTAAAAGAAACAGGGTTGGGTGGCAGAGGCAGGACATACATTATTAAGTATTCTTAACTAGGCAGGGGGGAAAACACAAGACAACAGTGCTTCAGCTCAACAAGAAACCTGTACAATTTTTATTCTGCACTTACACAGACATTTGTACCCTCATGACATACATCACATTCTACCTCATACTCCAGGTATTTCTAGTTTTTATAGATGTGTTTCACCTACAAATTTAAGTAAGTTTATGGTTACTTAAGGCCAGTAACGACACCATGTTTATTAATGTATCCCTTTTAGTGGCTAAAAAAAAAAAAATAGTGGCTGCCAAACTGCCTCAAAGGTGTTAATTTCTGCATAATACTTGAAAAACTCATATGACATTGTAACAAGAGGAAAATTCTAGTTACGGTAAGTACCCGAGGTTCTAAATATATCATTAGGACAAGTTAACATCAATCAACCCAAAGCAACTAAGTGTGCCCAAAAGAATTCCAACGAAGGGGAGTGAACTGACAATTCATGGGGAAAAGGGGAGAGGAGGATGTGGAAAGAGACTGAACATAAACTGTGCACCTATGGATGAGGACAATGGGGGGTGGGGGGGCCAGGGGGGGAACCTGGTGGAGGAGAGCAATGGGGGGGGGGGGGAGAGGAACATTTGTAATAATATGAATAAAAATTTATTAAAAAAAAAAAAAAAAAGAATTCCAACGAGTCACTTCTCTGTAACTTATGGGCTACTGTTACATAAATATGTTTAATTGCATTTTAATAAGATATATAAAAGCTGAGCCTGGCTGGTGTGGCTCAGTTGTTGAGCATCATCCTATGCACAAAAGGTTACTGGTTCAATTCCTGGTCAGGGCACATGCCCAAGTTGTGGGTTTGGTCCTCCTGTCAGGGTGCTTATAAGGAGGCAACTGATTGATGTTTAGCTATTTAAAAATAAGTAAATAAAAGGTGCCCTAACTGGTTTGGCTCAGTGGATAGAGCGTCGGCCTGCAGACTGAAAGGTCCCAGGTTCGATTCCAGTCAAGGGCATGTACCTTGGTTGTGGGCACATCCCCAGTGGGAGGTGTGCAGGAGGCAGCTGATTGATGTTTCTCTCTCATCGATGTTTCTAACTCTCTATCCCTCTCCCTTTTTCTCTGTAAAAAAAAAAAAATCAATAAAATATATATATATATATATATTTTTTTTTAAAGAGAAGGAGAAAGAAACATCAATGTGAGAGAGAAACATCAAGTGCCAGCAGCTGCCTCCTGCACACCCTCTACCAGGGACAGAGTCCACTTAGTCCTCCTGCTAAGACATACAATAAGTTAATGCTTTGAACTTTCTATAATGAATACATGCTTCTATATTTGAAAAAGTTTAAAACTTTTTTTAGACATTAAAAACTCACTTACTTTGGATTGGAAATAAATGTTTCAAAATAGTTCTGTTGGATATCACCCATTTCACTGCTGATACGGCCATGGTGAATCAAGATGCTTATCAGGTGGTATAGAAAAAGATTTGAAGAGAAAATGCTTTCAAAATTTGCTTCTAGGCATACCTTTTTTTCATCCCTGAGTGAGAGATAAGAAATAAATCAATCAATCACTGCTACCTATGGTAAATTAAAGTGACACAATATATTGACCATTACAAAGACAAGATAAAAATCACTACCTAGACCCACAATCACCTAAAGCAAAACTTTTAAACAACTTTCCCTTTCCCTGTTACATAAGAGCAACATTATCAAAACACGTGATCAGAAACCCCAGAACTATGTCCTCAACAGTTTCTCTTAAATCCAAATTTCTCAGCACCTAGTATAGTTTTCACTTGAGTGCTCAGTAAATGTGGGATTACCCTTAGAAGCAGGCACTCACACAGGCTACACAGAGCATCCTCTTTCATAATGCTAATGTCTGTGTACAACATCCCAGGAACCATACAGATATGAAACCTCTGAGAGTAGTACTCAGTTTCCAACTAAAACAAATATTAAACAAGACCTATCCTTGATTTTTTTTTTTTAAATACTGATTTAGACGAATACATATAACACCACGAAGTGCCAAAGATAATTTCACCACCTTATATACAGGGTGGGACAAAAATAGGTCAACAGTTGTGAGTACATGAAACAGTTTATTCTTGTATTATTATTAATTATTGTATTGTTTTCCATTTGAACAGCTGTAAACCTACCTTTGCTCCACCCTGTATGTTTACGGTTTTAAATTTTCCAAGGTACCTTCATTACCATTTCACTTCACTCTCATATTAATTATGAGAGGTATCTTTATTTTGATTCATTAAGAAACTCAGTACAAAGTTTAAACGACTAACTTCCAAGAGTCAGTTGCAAACTGGGAAACACTGGGCAAGTTACTAACTAAATGACCCTCAGTTTCTTCCATGGTAAATGGGGAAAACAACCACAACCTCCACGGCTACTGTGAATAAAAGCATAGAAGCATTGCTACATCGCTTGTTTTTAATTGGCCCTGATGGCTTTCTTCCCTTCCCCCGAACAGACAAAATGGAATTATCACGCAGTTATGTTTGCTAGACTACACTATGCAGGTTGGTTCCTTGCCCTGTCAGTGCATGAGCATTTGAGTTCACTGAGTGCTTTTTACCGTTTACACCCCCTTTCTTACATCACGGGCTCTTCCACCGGGCAGAGAGGTAGGCATCCTCATTTCACAACACTCAGAGGTTCGGAGGCCAAACGATTCTGCCCACCGCACCCCTGCTTTGTAGGTGGCCGGAGTGGTCCGCAAACCCGTCTTCCGAGCACAAACCCAGAAACAAAACATGGGGGGTGGGGGGGCAGGGTCTCCTCTGCCGAGGCCCAGAGACAGCTCCCCCGAAAGTGGGTCAGATCATCCCCCCAGGGAGAGGGGTTCTGAGGGAAAGTCACTTGGTCCGGAACTCAGCCCCGAAGCAAAACCTGCAGAGCACCTCGGAGGACCCTAAGTGTAAGGAACAGGCTCCCGGGAGCACGGGGAACCTCCATCCCGGGGCAGATCCGGAGGAGTCCCCGAGCGCCGGGCACAGGCGCGCCGCTAGCAGCCATAAGCCATGCGCTGCCACACGCCGGCCCTTCGGCAGGACGGGCCGGGACTGGGGGCGCCAGCGGCTTTATCCAGCCGCGAACCACAGGTAGGAGCCGCGACCACCGCGGACAAACCTTCTGGGCCTGCCCACCTTGGCTTTTAGGGACACCTGGACCGGAGGAGGAAAAGGCACCGGCTACCTTGACGTCCGCTCACCGCGAGCCCGCCATCTTGCCTCCCGCCGGGTCCTAGGGCACGCCGCTGCACGTGCCTTCCTGGCCCGCCGGGCATTCTGGGAAATGTAGTCTCTCGGGAAAGAGCTCTGGGCAGGGCAGCGGGGGAGGGGAGGGGGGCGGAGTGTGTGTGAGGCGTACTGGGAACCACCTACCATGCTCCGTTTAGTTGCTAGCAACCTGACTCAAATCACTCAAAAAACAAACAAACAAACGAACAAAAAACACAAGATCACTGCCCCACGCACACATCCTTAGAAAGTAACAAGCGGTATTATCTTTTAAGTTTATATTAATAATTGGAGTCCCTCTGGTGTGTTCAGTGGTTGAGCATCCACGCATATATGAATCAGGAGTCATGGTTTGATTCCCAGTCAGGGCACATGGCGGAGGAGTGGGGAGAGCAGATGCGGTTTTCTGGCGTGATCCCCAATGTGAATCATGCAGGAGGGAGCCCATGGGTGATTCTCGGATTGGAGGCCTTCCTCACTTCTCCATTTTAAACTTCACATCCAGTCCCACCCCTAAGGATTTAAGGGAAGTGAGGAGGGCCTCCAATCCGAGAAACCAGCGCCGTGTTCTGAGAATTGAGCTAGCTATTCATTATGGGGGGAAGAAAATGTCAGAAACCTGGATTTTGCCTTTTATCTTGAAGGCCCTTGGGCCTTTGCACTTTATGTTCTCATTGCCATCAGTGCTCTTCTTTCAGCTCTTTTGACCACTGCCTTACATTATCCATATTGCTCAAATTATCCATATTGCTCAAATATCATCCCAGAGAAGACCACACCATTAAAATAGCCTCACTCATCCATATGCTGTTGCCTTCCTTTAGTTTTCTTCATAACATTTACCGTTATATAATATCATATTATTTGTCTCCTCATTTAATGTCTGTTTCATGCTAGAATGCAAGCTCCACAAAGGCAGGGGCAGGCATCTGTCTTGCTCTATATTGTATGCAAACCCAACATCTAGAACTGTGCTTGGCCTCATTGAAGGCCTCCAGTATTTCTTGAATGAATGAAACAAATAACACAGCAGGCATCGACAATAGCAGATGATTGACTGCTAAAGCAGCAGTGTAACCTGAAAATTCCTTTCCTTCATGATTTGCAAATTTTGTATTTGTGTACATTTTTTTTTAAAAGGATTCATAGCTTTTATGATGTATTCAAGAGGGTCAATAAACCACTCAAAATGTTAACGAACATTATCCTGAGTGATTAATATTAATAATAAGTGCATGCAAATTCACAGTAAAGAAAAATAAATGTGGGCTGCTGTGGTTTATCTCGTTTCCCACAGAATTCAGGCTCCTTCTGCTGCTAATCATTGTTTCTGTGGAAGCCCGCAATGAGGACCCAACTCTGTCTTTTTAATCTTGTCCATCCTTCAAAATCACTCCGTAATGCCTTTCTGCACTATGCTGCAGGAAGAGACAGAAAGGAAAAACAGAAATGGATGAACAATCAACTGGATTTATCAAACATTCATTGTGCAAAGTGGAAGGGGATGGATTAAAGATGACTTCAGAGGACATGTCTTTTTTTTTAAATATATATTTTATTGATTTTTTTTTTTTTTACAGAGAGGAAGGGAGAGGAATAGAGAGTTAGAAACATCAATGAGAGAGAAACATTGATCAGCTGCCTCCTACACACACCCCACTTGGGATGTGCCCACAACTAAGGTACATGCCCTTGACTAGAATTGAACCAGGGACCCTTCAGTCTGTAGGCCAAAGCTCTATCCACTGATCCAAACCAGCTAGGGCAGAGAACATGTCTTGATGACTGTGACAGAATAGGGACCACTGACCAACAGGGAGACTCATCGGAAAGGTTTACAAAACTGAGACCAGAAAAGAAAGCAATGATGTGCATGGAAAAGAGAGTAGAGCTAGCTTCCGGCTGAGGGAACAACGTAAAAGTCTGAAGGGGGTGGAAATAACTTACCAACTGCTGGAGTACAGTGTGGAGGAGAATGGAAAGAGATGAAGTAAGAACCATGTCATGTTGGCCTTTGTAGGCCTTGGTGGTGATATCATGGAATTGGGACATAGGCTTATGTGTAGATTATTCTAAATGCTGTAGGGTAGAGGTGTCAAACTCAATCAGAGAAGGGGCCAAAATCTAAAATCCAGCCTAAATCGCGGGCCGAATGGTTTACTGAACAGTCATAAACTGTCATTGTGATGGAAACGCAGCGGAGTGCAGTGATGACAGCGCGGTGCGGGCCACATTGCAAGGCCTGGCGGGACGAATTTGGCCCACGGGCCTTGTGTTTGACACATGTGCTGTAGGGAGTCACTGGATGGGTTTAACATAAAAGAAGGGAATATGAGTTATGATTTGAAAAGATTACTTTGGCTGTATTGTGAGGAGTGGCAAGACTGCAAGCAAGTCTAATGAGACTATTGCTATCCTGCAGTCAATTTAAGAGGTGAAGGTGATAACATGATGTAGGGTAGCATCAGTGGAGATTAAGAGAAGGGAAGAGTTTGATGAACAAGAATAGATTGATCTAGAGACAAATGGTAGGGAAGGGGGGTTAGAGAGCAGCCAAAGGACTTGTATGCATGCATATTAGCATAACCAATTGACACAAACATGGGCAATGGGGGCTTGCCTGGGTGGGAATGGCTGGAGGTGGAGGTGGGGTCAATTGAGGAAAAAGGAGACATATGTAAATTTTTAGACAATAAAAACAAAAGAGAGAGAAAGAAGGGAAGAGAGTTCAGATATATTTTGAAAGTGAAAATGATAACCAAACTTGCTGGTGGATTGATTGGATGTGGAAGCTGAGAGAGAGTAAAGGGCACTTCAGGTGATGTTTTGCTGACTAGCTTGGAGGTGGTATGGTTCAGGTGACAGGGAAGAGTGAAAGAGGAGTAGATTTGGGGGTCTGATGAGGATGGAAATTAATGAATCCACTTGGAAGTTGAGTTTGAGATACCTCTGAAATACCCAAGTAGAGATTAAAGATATATTATAAAATGAGATAGCTGATGGCGGGGGGGAAATGTGTCTAGAGAATAGAGGTTAGGCTAGATATAGATTTAAAGCCATGGGAATGTTGAGTGCATATAGGTAGAGAGTGTAGAAAAAAAAGAAAAAGGTGAGAGAGTAGTTAGGAGAGGCATGTCATGTCATGAAGTATTTCATAACTCTAGCATCCAGTGCCAACAAGTTTAAAACTATTATTTCCAAAAATACAAACTTGAAATACCAATAAATAACTTACATTAGCCTACATAAAAGCTGTTGCAATTCATGCTAATGAAATGACAAAACAGATAAAATCATAGAGGTTTGGAGCAGGCTTTAAATGGCTTCAGTTGAAAGGGTGTCAGCTTTTTTCTTTTCAAACTTCACAGAATAAAGTAACTCTTTATATAAACCAGAGATCAAAGACTTCAGAGTATCTAACTGCCAAACCATTAGGGATAATCTTTCTAAAAACATTTTTTATTACATAAAAATTGGCTACAATTTTGAGCATTTACTATGTGCCAGATATTCAAACACTATACGTGTATTTTTTTTTTTTTCTATTCCTACTGTTGGCCCTAGGAGATGGGTATAATTACTGTCACTGTCATTAGACAAATGAAATAACAGAAGGGGAGTTGTTCAAAGCCATGTCAAATACAAGTGGTAGAAATAGGATTTGAATCCAAGAACTTCTGATACCAGCACCCATGAGTTTAACCACTGTGTTAGACTGTGCCATGCTCATTGCCAAATAGAAAATGTAGATTTAAAAAATCCAAGTTAAAAATAATCCAAATTCATACAGAGTTTAAAAACAAAATGCCAGAGATAATATCTATTAACATTTTAGTGTGTAAATTTTCATTTTTATCTCTTCTTATATCTATATTAGAGGCACGGAGCACAGATTTGTGCACTTGTGGGGTCCCTTGGCCTGGCCTGCAGGGCTTGAGCCAAAACTGGCTCTCCAATATCCCCCAAAGGGGTCCCGGATTGCAAGAGGATAGTTCTCAGGTGACTCCTCTCTGGTTCCGGGTGTGTCATCCGAGAACCACAGCTGCCAAGTCAAGGCAGCTTGGCAGCTCCTGCATTGAGCATCTGCCCCCTGGTGGTCAGTGTGCATCATAGCTACTGGTTGGACCATCAGATGGTTGCTTAGGCTTTTATTTACGTGAATTATGATACTAATTAACATTTATTGGACACATTATGTGTACTATTCTAAGTCCTTTGGTCAGTAACTGGCAGAGGTGAGACATGAACCAGACAGCCTGGTACTCCTTCAATCTCCTGCTCTTTCACGCAAACACATTATCTTTATTTCTATTAATATATGTATATAAATAAATAGACATATACATATACATATAGACTTTCTTTTTATAGAACTATATATATGTAGTAGTCCATGCAAATTCATGCACATTAAAAGAGGATTAATTAGAGGAAATAATTTAATATTGCTATTTGTCCTTTCTCTATAGTAGAAGTGTCAGAGATGGAAGAAAATTAGTAAAATGTGTATGAAAACCTTCCTCCTGTCAGAGTCTGAGGCACATCACGGGACCCAGTCAATTCCCCACCCACCCACTTGCTCCTCAAAATCACATGAGACCCAGACTCAGCCAACCCCCTACAATTGGGCTTGCTCCAGACCCAGCCAGTCCCACCCTTGTCAAGCCCCATCAGGCAGGTTTCTTGTCCCTGTCTGGGCTGGGGGACCTCAAGCCACGCCCCCCATCTTGGCACTGGGACAAGGGACCTAAGGCCGGGATGGAGGACATGACCTGAGATCTGTCAAACCCTGGCGGGTAGTGGATGCAGCCTGAAGTTCCCTGTCAAGCCCCATGGGCCTTAGCCTCAGTTCCTGCTGGTTGCTCATTAAGACTCCTTATGGGAACTTGGCCTCAGCTGTGGGTGCAGCCATCTTTGTGATGAAGTGATGGTCAATTAGCATATTCCCTCTTTATTAGATAGGATATCTTTCCCCCCCCACACACTTAATGTATCATGAACATTTTCCTATGAATAATCTAAATATTATCAATTTCAAACCATCAGACTCTTACACATCATCAGGATTTTTGA